TCCAAAGGGTTGTGACCGGAGGTACAATTAAGCCGATGGATATGTAGCCCGGGGATGTCGAGAGAGAAAAGAGCCATTCTCGAGCAAGATAGTTGCCGAAGATATTTATGGTACGTATCTGAGGGATGAAATATGCAGTGAGGGACTGCATTCGAGGTCAGCAAGGCGGAAGGGTTGTCTAAGAAAATTGACGCTCACGTAAAGTGCCGCAAACAAGAATGTGATGAGAATGAGTTTGTTATTCTGGCTCCAACCATGTTGCACGAGGCTAGCGTCAGTATCAACTGAGTCTTCTACAATTGATGGCTTTTGCTTGTCGTTAATGCTATCCAAATCATTCTGAGCGCGGAGAATTCGATCCGCAATGTCAGCATCCCGGTGTAATGATCCAATCATAGCTGCCGACGATGTTCCAAACGGGAATGGCAAAGGCTCTTGGACAAGAAACCGTTTTCGCAGTGGTAGAGTCACGGCAACACCTAGAATACTGACACCAATGGACCAAACACAGAGTTGAGACCAGTCAAGTCGGAAGGGCCCATTTTCCGATTCGTTGGTGAGGAACTCCATGGCCGGCAAAATCCCGACAGATCCGATCGTAAACGGCATCAAGCCCAACGAGCTGGCAATAACAACCATTGTCGCATGTTCTTGGGGGGTGAATGGGAAGGCCAAATGATCTTGGACCATTTTGAAGAAGGCAAAGCCTAGTATAGTTGAAGGAAGGCTCATGATGGCCAGGAAACCAGTACGAAGTCCGAAATACGTGTTGGAGAGGCATATTAAGAAGCCAACTATGATGCCGACGACCGTGGATCGGAGAGTCAGAGAGGAAGCTGGCTGTGACATTTCCTGCCCTCTTGACCTCGAGGTAGAAGCTCTGCGGTGTCGTCGGCTGGCCGCTTCGATATCTCTAAATCCAGGCATGGTCACTTTCCCAGAGTGCCTGCGAAAGAAGCTTGGTCAAGCTGTCGGAAACTGGCCAAGAAGGTAAGAAAATGCAATACTTATTATTCGTGAATGGGAGAGAGGCATGTAGAAGCCTTTCATTCCAGGCTCTATGAAAACCTAATCACATGCACAAAATCCATTCTCCATTCGCACTGATGCATCGGCAGTGAGCTGGGGTTTATGTGTGGTGACACGGAGGCTACGTCATCGATATTCTCACATCATCCGGGATACCCACCCCATGGTACCGATTTGATGTTTTGCAGCATCCGTCTTAAACAGAGAAATGGAATAATCTTAAAGAAAGCTGGGGTTCAAGAGATATTTACGGCGAAAATACCAGATGAGAATGCATCATGTTCTAGCTCGCAAAGCTGCAAAAGTGTACAGAACTCAATCACTACACTATGCAAGGCGACTAGTCTGGTCGTCAGCAACAGCATCAAATCTGTATGGTTGCGTAGGGCGCGAAGCTAGAGAACATTTACAGGCACAATCTATTTTGTTTTCCATTTGGGATTTCGTTCATCTAGGTGGCACAGAATACTGAGTAGCCGAGTAAGAGACGATCTCTTGCACCTCGTCCATCTTCTCCTGTTGTTTGATTTCTATTTTTAAGCACACGAAGTCAACACTCGCCCCTCAAAGCACCTGACCCTCTGATTCTTTGTAAGAGACTCTACAGTGCCAGTCAAGACATGCAATTGGTACACCAGAACCATTGCCTGGCTCGGTATCTATAGCTTCAAACGCGACCATACACAGTAGCGCCCCATCGCCAGTATTTTCTTTGGGGCTGTTTGTTAGTTTCGTATCACACAGAGCGAGTGATTTGCATCGTGACCTCTGAGACTGTGACACTATTAAACTCATACTGGCCCTGGACAGCACAGTTTGTGAACCATGACTATTGCCTCAAGCTCAATCCGTAGCCTCCTGCTCTTTTCATCGTTGATTGAACTGATGAACAACTAGACTGCCAAATATGAGCATGATACGCTCTAGGTACTTCTGTAGTGAACAGCTACCCATCTCAAAGGTCTTTGTAATACTGACCGAAAGGCCATGGCTAGATTCGCGCTACAAAAGTAAGTAGTACCCACGGCCCCAAGAAGCTTAAATGCGAAACTCTGTCGACAACAATCATTACCTATGGATATTAATCTCCGACGAACTGCGTATACACCTTGCGGGTTACCCCGACCCAGCGGGGGGTTGGGCCGCGACTAAACCTTCATCGCTTGCCCTTCGGAGCAGAGGAAAGCCAATCAGCGAGCTTTAGCTTCATTCAAGAACACCGTCCGCTTTGGGAACTTCGAGACAAAATACCATAGGCACATGTAGGCTACCCATAAGTGGCTTGCTGTCTTTGCCCGCGGTTGGAGGGTCAGCAGAGCATATTCCGCCTATCATTAACCCCGCCAAAGTTCCGCAGGATCTCGATGGACCAGTCTGGGCGTAGCGCAAAGCGCGGCTTGGTCAGACGACACGAACATGTGACGTCATTTCCATCGCTGTCCTGCGAATATTAATGCAACTGCTCTCCCCACGTGAATGACCAGTTGCGACGCCGTTCTACCTACCTATTGTCAACACCCACTCCACTGTTCATCACAATACCTATCAATTCGAACCACGTCCCTCCATACCAGATAGTTCTCCATTTTGATCACATACACCACTTGACAACGATCGATATCACGATGCATAACGCGGTATTCGCACAGTTTCTCCTACAGCTGTGCTTCGCGCTTTTGGCCGTCGCCGCGCCGGCATCCGATCCCGCTGTCGGCACAGCAGCTCACGGCAACACCTGGCAGTATGGCACTGGTGGCGGTATCCTTGGTTTCATAGTCCTCGTCTTGGATATTATCGTGTTCCGTGAGTCTCCTTCCTAAATGGTGTCCTCGACAGCCAAATACTCGTTCGCACGCAAGCAGTCACGTTGTGTTTGCTAACAGTACTGTCGCTTAGTTGAGGTTCTCAAGTCTGATCGACCTGTCAGCCATAAGGTGCTCTGGTGCCTGGTCGTCTTCCTTTTCCCCATCGTCGGCATGGTCATCTACTGGCTGTTCTCAAACCGCGCCGCCCACAACTCTCGCTCTGGATACGAGGCCGTCGCATAGATTACGTCTTGATACGTGCATTCTGTAGTTGGCACCACTCAGAAGACTGGGGAAAAACACATGTATTTTGCATCGTGACGAATTTCTGCACGAGCAAGTGGGTGACATAGTTGTTTGCCGCTATATAAACCCTAGCATTTTTTCTACTGCTCTGATTTCTGGACTTTTCAAGAGTATCCTTTAGTAAATATATAAAAGATATAAAAATACATAAAAAGAATAAAATGCAGAATAAGACCGCTAGGAATAACAAATAATTCGTAAAGCAGTAGTGTAATTATTTGTTGACCGGTATCTTATTTTGTTACCTACTTGACTAGTCTATTAATGAAAGATTACCTCCCCGACTAAGGCTTTGAGCACAATTATGTAACTCCATAGGTATTAAGGAGATCATATGATTTTCTAAATAATCCACTTCTTCATGGGTCAAGCAGTCAAGGTGGAAATCACGGTTTACACAAACCCTTAAAGTTTACTCAGTCAGTAGAGAAATTCAACGTTGGTACTTCGTACATGAAATTCCGGCGGGTTAGATGAAAAGGCACTGTCGCTATTTCATACCCAACTTTGAAGCTGGGGTTAATTTGAAGTGGATGCGCCCTGTCGCACGATATCTTCATTGGATATGTAGGTGATAAAAAGAAAGTGAAAAGAAAAAGAGTTAAATCCAGATATTTATTTCCGTACTATTAAGTCCTGGTTGATTCACAACCGCACAATTCCAGGAGCATTGATAAGTGAAACCCTGACAAGAAAAGCAAACATTGAGTAGCAATGCAATACTGAGCCTAGGAATCACACCCATTTATCTGTGGACTACCTCATCAAGTACCAGCCTAAAGAAGCCCAGAAACACGGATAGAAATGAAGTGGTCCTCAGGGGAAACCAACCCAGGTAGCTGGTTCTGATGATCGGGTACCAGAGCTACCGGCACATAAACCGTCAAAACACCTCGGCTTGGGAAGTATTCGAATGTCAAACCTGAATTAGTGATGGAATTCCCGTCTTGGTCTTGGAACGAGACACTGACGGCATCCAAAGTGCTTGGCGCTGTGCACTTCTCGGTCCAAATGGCGAGTTGATACGTGTCACCAATGAGAGGACACGCATTGAATTGGTTCCAAGGATGAGAGAGCTTGACGATGCGTAACGCGCCGTCATACTCCTAAGGCCGGTATCAGATATATACGCTGACAGTGGTGTTTTGATGGACTAGACAAACCTGATGAATCTTGAATTCGCGGAAGTAGCTCTTGGCCTCATTCACTGTAGAGGTCGTAACATGAGAGTACCTGTGTTGAGGTAGACAGGCCGGCGCACTGTCCCGGCTGACGCCGTCATCCAAGTACATGGAGTAATGCTAAAGCGTCACACCTATCAGTTTAAGTTCGTTGACCAAGTTGTAGGAGGCCACTTGCCGTTGGCCTTTTCCCCAGAACATTCGGATAGATGTGAATTGTAGGCCTGTTTACACCGCCTTCATTCACGAACTGGCGGAAGTGAAGTTGCGGGATGATGGCGCCTGTGATGGTCAGATTTTCAGTCGTATTTGGTGGGTGCTTTAGTTACTTGCCGGCTCGGACATATACTGGTGTGACGAAGGGTATTTGCTCGGGCTGAAACCCGGCATTGGGTATGTAACACCCATAACTGATCGTGGTACCACCAGGTACAGATTGCTCCAAATTAGCAGCATGCTTGATTCGCTGCGGATCCTTTCCTTGGTTCTGGACGTCGATGCGAAGGTTCAATGGGTACCACTGATCAGAACCGGGCAGATAAACTGGCCTGTGCTTTACACCTGGATTTAGGACGGGGCAAACCAAGATGTTGTGACCAAGAAGATATTGATTGTCGATGAAATCGTCATTTGCATTGAACAACGTTGTGTCATCCGGATCGGTAATAAGCTAATTACTTTAGTAAACAACCTCGTTCAAAGAGTATACCAAGAACATGTGGCGTACCATGGCACGGGCGATAGGCAACCCATTAATCAGGTTTGCAAACATAGTATCGTACAATACCTGCATAAGCGAATATCGGAGTTGGACGTAGTAGCGGCAAATCGGCTCGACTGACATGTATAGGTTGTACACATCTTGACTGGACCCCTGAAGAGCTTGCGGGTAATTCTGGAAAGCGTATGTGTACTGCCACGGTTCCTAGACAATGATCAACATAAGAAAAGTCCGTGAAGCTTCGTAGTATCCATAATTACCTGGAAGTTCTTGCCACCGAAATGCTGAATGTAATGATTTCGGTACCAAGGCAGCAAAAATGCCCCCGTGTACCAGCGGATCAGCAGCTCTGGATCACACCATTGCGGGGGGTTGAGATTCTTGTCTGGATCAGGTGTGAAGCCGCCCATGTCAACTCCTGCAATTGTCATGCCACTGTATCCCAGAGCAATGACCTGCGCAACCGATATTCTCCAGAAATCCCAAGAGCTGCCGTTGTCACCGGTCCAAAGGCCGGCGAATCTGTGCATACCAGTAAGGCTACCACGGCCGATGATAAAGTTGCGCTTATTCTCCCTTCCTTTCAGCTTATTTAGCCCTTTGTACGTTGCTTTGTGCAAGTTGTACGAGTAAAGACCCCAAAGCTCAATAGCAGTCTTCGTCGATGGCTTAACTTTCGGATCTTGGTTAGGAGTGTCATCTGACATGAGGAGACGGGATGGGAAGCTGTAAGTTTGTAAGCGACTGTTGACTCCAGAAAACAAGGCTATCTGACCCAAGCATGTCGCCGTAGACCTCTGCAACGGCAGGAGTTGTCATATCTTGCCAGACAAACTCCAGACCGTTGTCGAACAGATACTGGTATTGCTCACCCCATCTTTCGCGTGCAACGGTACGGTTCAGGTCGGGATAATAACCGGCCTGCAAGGATTAGTCTTGAATCAAAGATATGCAGAGACCTACTCACAGTGCCAAGGTTGGTGTTGGTTCCTGGAAGCGTGCCGTAGCTAACGCCTCCATGGAATGGGTACCCGCTGTTGTAATTCTCGTTGAAGTTGTAATCGTCACGCAGTCCATTCCCGGGTGCATCCACAGAATCTGTGTATATCTTTTGTATGTTCGGGTCGGCTGGATCCAGCTGTGTCGGCACTGCGAATCCACCGCCATCATATCGCCATCCACGCTGCTGGTTATCGGGAAGACCCTTGAGATATCTTTTGTCACTGACCAAAAGGCTGCCAATTGTCCGTCAGCCTGGTAAAATTGACGAACTGGGTATTGCTTACTTTGTGGCGGGATTCAGCTTATCATCTTCGTCCCAAAAGTTACGTAGATTGATGTATGGGTCGGCGTCCGACTCTCGAAGACTGAGGATAGGCGTGATGTTCGTGCAGCACTTTACCCCCTTCTGCCTGAGGCCGTTCAAGAAGTCGCCAATGTTGCCAAACTTTGACTCACTCGCGGTGAAAGTGCGGTATCGATCCTAGAATTGTTAGTCGTAATCAAGGTTGGCGGTGGAGATCTTACCTGAAAATCCACGTCCAGATGCATTCCGTCTAGGGGAATGTTAGAGTTGCGGTACCCGTCCACGATTCCCCCAACTGTCGCATTGCTGTTGTATCCGTAACCTAGGATCATGAGCATGCTTATGAGAAGGGGGGGTTCAGCTTCACATCATACATCCTTGATGATGGCCTAAAATGAAGCGAGGCTTGAGCTTTGGTCGCCCGACAATCGAAGTGTATTGCCTAAAGCTGTCAGCAACGACTTGGCAAAGTCGCAGATGATTGACCAACCAAATCATTCTCGGTACATCGTCCGCCGTCATAACGTAGGCATCAAACGTCCCAAATCGCGTGGCAATGCCGATGGTGTTCGAGTCGTTCATACCAAGGTCAATGGCGACCTGTGAGTAGTTGTCAACCATCAAGCCGGTAACATTCCGATGGGTCGGAATTCCATTCATCTCCAGGAAGAATGGAGATGAGTGGTATCTGTGGAATCAGCCTAGACACGAGACATCCTGGTAACGAACGCTTACAAGGGTTCTTTGTCATCCAGAGCCCCCTGACCATATACCTTCCTGTAATTGAAGTTGTCGTAGCCTGGGACGATTAGCAGACTGTAGGGAGTGATGACGCTGGGGTTGATTATGAAGACCTACAGAAGTAATTCATGTACGTTGGCTTCTTTAAGACAGTCTTTCCGCCCTGTTCGCCAAACCCAAGATAGTGGGCTGGGGGAGGCTTATGCATTTTGAGGATGACATTGTTACTTGCATCAATCTCGCGATCGCCGTTGTAAGAAAAGGCCTGGTCAGCAGTTCGCCAAATCACTTCTTCCGAAATTGATGTTCCTTGGATGCCGGCCTCTGTTATGAATGTGGGAGTCTTCTCCCTCGGCTCGAGGCCCGGCCGTGTTGCCTAATGTACCTACATTAGACTGCCATTTCCATGTGAGGATTTTAACGTACAATAATGCGGAATGGTGATGCAAAAAAGTGTAGGCGAGTCTTAACTGCTCCGTTCGGGTTTTGAGCAGTGTGATCAACCGACTGCGTAACTTTTAGAATTATGAACTCGAAGTCACCTAAATGGGTCAAGAATACATACACTGAGAACCCAGTGGTCACCAGACAGCTGTTCAAACGTTGTGTTCCAGTACCAACTCTGCGGTGCATGGTAGCTGTTGCCCGCGTCGCAATCTCGGTATTCTTGCTGGAGGTCATCAACGAGATCTACAAAACGGTTCCTCACAATTGTGCGTCTAGAGTGATCATTAGTTAGAAAGTAATGTCGGGATCAAGCGAGGTTTGATACGTACGAGTTGGTATCCGGGTAGTCCCCGACACCAGTGAACTTTGGGTTGTATCTGATTCTCCAGATTTGAGGGGTTACAAACTGAACGAGGCAGTGTGTTGAAGCATCGCCTTCAACTCCTTGGAGAGTAATATGAGCGGCGTATCGAAGAGGGTTGTTGGTTTTCTCTGTTAAAGCAGAGGATTCGACCTTAATGGCTTTGACAGGCGTCTTGTAAGATGGAACAGATGCCTTTACCGAGTTGAAGAAAACATCGGCAGGAATGAAATTCAACAAGTCACCAGGAGCAGACATTGGAGCAATGTTGATTGTGAATTTCATGCGTATGAACCTTTCGAGTCCCAACCGATGTCAGTAGGCCGGGTGGTTCGTCCTTATATCGGCCCCATCGCTGGGGTGGCTTTAGTACCACTAGCCATGATACTTTAGTAGAAGGGAAGAATGTCTTGCTAGTGGAATTATTAGAACGGACCGAGATCACCAGCTTGGCATTCAGCAATGAAGCCTTTCGACGCCATGAAATGATTGGAACTGCTAGAAATTATGATCTTGATCCTCAGCCTACTTTCGAGCGGTCTAGATCTCATTTGCGGGAGTGGAACTCTCGAGCGACAAATCGGACTTACAGCTGGAACAAGAGGATTCTAAACGCGCTCTCAAAGTTACTTTGGCTTAGGGGTTGATACTTGTCATGCCATCGTGGCAGGCAGCAAGCGGCCGGCCACAACGAATTTCCGCCACATGGGCTCCGAAAATAGTGGTCGATGAGTGATTTTAATGCCTCGGGATGAAAGCATCAATCTGTTTTCAGTTACAGCGTACTTTCGCGAATAGCATGGATAATTTGACCATAGACTACTGAGATCCGAGCCTCGGAGTAAAAGTTGCTTCATTGAAGCAAGACATCAGAATGACCAAGCGCCGTTTCCCACATAGTCTCTCCAACAAGCAGGTAGAAGTCGCGGCTCATCTTGGCCCCTCAATACTTTGTCTTACTCCCTCCCATAGGTTAGCAAATGGGCGATAACGGGGAGCGGTCGTACAGGGCGGCGCCCCAACCAATCTAGGCGTTGCCTACGGTATTTTGGGATCATAAGATACTTGCTTTCCATATCGGAGTGTATCACATTCCTATCACGGGTCTCAACTAAACGGTTTGGGTTTCTCGCCATAAATGAAGCGATATTAGGTAGAGACCTCTAATTCCCTAGCTCCCAAGACTGCTGTCTGGCCTGGCATGAGCTGACATACCTCGCAACCTTTCATCGGCCCGCGGTTGCCTGACGGCTGTCAAAACAGAAAACCCAATCATCTTACCATGATGAAATTTTGGTCCTGTTCGTTCCTAGGGACTAAGAGACAAAGGTTCGCGTCAAAGCTGGCGTGATCAGCCAGCCATGCTCCGTGCGGCTGAACGTAGTGTGTCTTGGAATCTGACTAGCTAACCCAGGTTCGGACCGTCCCGCTTCAGTTCCCCTCAACGCCATTGCAAATGCATTCCAACGGAAGTTACATCGGTTGGATCCCGAAGTAGAACTTTGAGGATAAGGCTTTTTGATTTCCGTTCACGGCCCGAAACTGAGATTGACGCCTGAAGCCAAGTCCGATGGCAACGTACAGGCTTAGCAAGCATGGTTGTGGCTTATGTTGGCACAAAATAGCCCTCTGATGGTTACCCTAGGTATTCGTACATCAACAAGCCACGGGGTTTTCGTTTCCCGGGTAATTCATGAAAGCAGTTCTTGACTTAGATGAATGCGAGGATAAAACTACTGCGCCAGAATGCTGTGGCTGTCGTTGCCAGTTCCATGATAACCGAGACTGGCCAACCCTTACAGTTGAGAGCGTAAGTCCTTTAACGGAGCAATGATCTACCAAGGCAAAGTCAGTCGGTCCGTTTCCGCACAGAACTTAACATCAACAAGCATGCCTGTTAGGACAGCTGCATGAATCGCGTGACTGCATGCATGCATACTGCACTTAGTACATACATACTGGCTATCTCAAGGGGCTCCACGAGTTGAAATCCAAACGTACGACAGTCAAACTTGGCTCCCAAGGTTTGCCTTTAAGTAAAGGACTTCCCCCACCTCTGATGTCGGTGCTGCATAAGATCCTTCAATTACGGTACCTACTTTAGTCTGGTAAACAGGTCCACCTCCGTAATGACGTTCTTCAAGAGACTCACAGAGTTCCTCTTCTTCACCGCTGAATTTTCCGCACAGGGCAGACTGGCAACGCAGCCATTGGCCGAGGAACCCAGTCGACTGTCTTTCGCAGGGTCTTGCAACACCGCCAACAATCGCGAATGTTGGTCTGAGGGATTCAATATCACCACTGATTATGAAAAGCATGTTCCTGATGGAATAGAGAGAGAGGTTAGTGATGTCTTATAGTGATGCCAAAACTGATCATTTGTCACTGATCATGGATGATCTAGTTCTACTTGGAGGTCGACAATCATGAGATTGCCCCTGATGGGTACCTTGTTCAACGCATGTTGTTCAATGGAACCTATCCTGGTCCTACGCTTGAGGGGAATTGGGGAGATACTTTTAGTAAGCCTGCTGGCGCTGCCTTCTGTCATCTTGGCCTAGACTCCGTCGAGTTTGATTTCAACACTCAGATCCAGGTACTTTAGCTTACTCCTCCAAAAAGAAATCACAATCAAGAACAAGCTGAAGAATCACAATGGGACATCTGTCCATTGGCATGGCATCCATCAGCGAAACTCGAATTGGATGGATGGAGTGTCGGGCGTGACAGAATGCCCAATCCCGGTAGGCCTGCATCTCCATATTCCACCGACATAAAGCTGATAATCAAAGCCCGGGGAGGAGAAAACATACACCTGGCGAGCCACTCAATATGGAACTTCATGGTACCACAGTGCGTACTGAACACGGTCAATTGCATAACAATCGCTGACTTTCTCAGGCCACTTTAGTCTTCAATGTCCGTCACCCCAACTCTTTATCGCCACCCTCTGCACGTAATATTAACACGTCTGGTTAGATGCGGATGGACTTGTGGGTGCATTGAAGATCAATGGGCCAACGAGCATGAATTACGACGAAGATCTCGGTCCCGTACTTATCACTGACAATTTCCACAAGACTGCATTCTCCCAGGTGCAACTTGAGTACATGGGTAAGGCCGCACCACCACAAACTAGTCAAAACTACTAAATCAAGTGGACCAGGTCGACCTCCTGCTCCCGATAGCATGTTAATGAACGGTAACGGGAGATACTACTGCTGTCCAGTTGGTGCGAGCTGCAACGCAGACCCGAATTGCGTTGGCGGATCTAACATTACGACATTTAACTTCCAGCGAGGGAGGTCCTACAAGATGAGCCTTGTCAACACCGGCACCTCGACTCATACGACTTTTTGGATTGATCATCACAATTTTACGGTTGTGGGTACGGACTTTGTCCCGATCAAACCATACACAGCCTCCATCATCAACATTGCCATTGGCCAGCGTTACGACATTATTATCAACGCCAATGCAAGCAAGAACACCCGGACGGACTTTTGGATTCATGCTCGGGATTGTCAAATTGGAGGTGCTCGATCGAATCTTGGCATCATCCGCTATGATCCTACGTCTACAAGACTACCTTGGACACCCCCAGTAGACGACCGTCACGTTTGTTATGGCTGCCTCGATGAGTCTCCGAAAGACCTGAAACCGATAGTCCCACGGATGGTTAAAAACGCAGCTAATGAAGGTTTCGAGAAGGATTCGTTGAAGGTGCACCTGGTCGGATTTCCTAATGACTTTGATCCCGATGCAACGCTCCACAAGTGGGTTCTCAAAGACTCTTCGCTTTATCTAGACTGGTCGCAGCCCAGTCTGAGCCTGGTTAAAATTGCATCTGACCAAGGCTGGGAGAATCCCAAATTTCCCAAAGGTTATGAGCCTGTGGATCTTCAGTCCTACAAGGAGAATAGCTGGGTGTACTTTCTTATCGAGGGCAAATTCCAAGAGTCTGTCGACAACGCAACTCACAAAATTTACAAGACACAAGCACCAGTGGCACATCCCATGCACATTCATGGACACGATTTCGTTATCCTCGATTCCGGAACTGCCGAGTTCGACCCAAAAAACTACACCATCAATCGCGATAACCCGCCCCGCCGTGACGTGGCACTCCTTCCAGTTAACGGGTATCTTATAATTGCTTTCCAAAGTAGGCATTCCAGTCTCATTCTCTAACTGAATAGTTGTAGCTAACTATCAATCAGTCGATAACCCTGGTGTTTGGTTAATGCACTGTCACGTAAGTCGTTTGCCATGAAATAGCTACCTTATATATATGCAATGTCCGACTAATGATTATAGATTGCCTGGCATGCAAGCGGCGGTCTTGCTTTGCAATTCATTGAGCAACCAGAGAAGCTCAGCCGCCAATTTGGTGAATCCGGTAGAGTAGACGAATTTTCGAAAACTTGTACTAACTGGGCTGCGTACTACACTATGTTTAACAAGAACTACAATGCAACGCAGGATGATTCGGGTATCTGATGTAGGATTAGAAAACGGGAATTAACAGGAAGCTAGTGTTTGCATTAATGCTCACTGTAGCGACATGACTTTTAAAGTCTGTTAGCTTTATGTTAAGATTGACTGGGGTCTTCTCAACCTTGATCTTGTTGAGGCGATAACGTCCTCGCTATCAATGCTTCTATAGCTTTAATATAATTATTTTAAGAAATGTTGAGCGTCGCTTGCTCTCTAGCTGCGCACCGATGTTTGATTATATCTTTGCCTCCTAGTGAAACCTACGTGAAGCCTTATTACTTTTGTGAGGATAAACCAATCCGTAAGAGAGGTGGCCCTCCTCCCCTTAAGATGACTATCGGTTTAAGGAATACCCTTTACTATCGCGTTCGCATTGTCGTAGATATCGCTAGCGGAAGATAGTAATGTAAAAAGTGGCTAAGATTGTTATATAAATAGCAATGTAACTACAAGTCCGTTGAATGCCGGAGTGATAACTAGGGAAGAGTATGATTGGTATATGTTAGTTACCGTTGATAGCGGGAGTGTTGTTTATATTAGGGAAGCTGTTCGTAAGTACTGCTGCTACTAGTTTCTTATAAACGAGCGAGGAAACTCTAGTGAGTTCTAGGTATTCTAGTAAGGAAGGCATCGGGAGATCCGGTATATATATTCGTAGCTCGAGATAATTATTTACGAACCTTTAGTAGTATATTGTTGGATACTTATTATACGTTAGTTTTGCTTAAGTTCTGGAAATGTGTAAGCTTTTTTTTAGTAACTTTATTGGATTATTGAATGCTGTATAGTATTAGTGAGAAATGCTAGGCCTGTTTTTTGGAAGAGACTCTTTGCTGATGCGTTAACTTGTCGCAGTAGTGAGGTCGCTCTATCTCGAATCGAAGGCTTATTAGAGACGACTGATATAATAGGGCTTGTACTATGAATGAACTAGACCCGGAACTATTGATTATCCTGATTATAACTGTTTTAACCGCTCTTGTTAACTATAAGCGGTGGAAGGTTAACGTTCTGTAGGTCTCCTGCTAATTTAATTATAAAGATATTGCCAAGACTAGAAACTTGCGCCTGTATGCTAATTTTCTTATAACGCTAGCTATTTAGATAAGACTTTAAGTCTTACTTACAAATTATTAGCGGCATATACAATATATTTTTAGTAAGGAAGCTGGATTTTCGCTATGTAAGTATGATATTGTCGATTTGAATATTCCCGAGAGTGTAAATATTATATCTGTTTATATTTAGTTAGGGCTGGGGTAGGTTCCGGTTGGTTATATTATTATGGTAGCTGCTAGTGCGACCTAAGCTACCCGACTAAGTAAGCGAGAAGTTGGCACGGAATGTTAACTCTAGTAAAATGGGTGGGGCTTATAGATTAATGAGATTTAAAGGCGGTGTTGTTATTCTTTAATATTACGTGGGCAATGGTTGTGTATTAAAGCCGTTGTGGCTACTATTAGAATTGAAAGTAGGGCTACGGAGAGGGGGGGTTAAAGCCGGTAAGTAGAGGAAGTATAAAGCTATAGAAATTCTTAATAATAAAATAAATAAAAATAGTATATAATTAAAGCTATAAACTAAGTTATTATAAGAATTTAGTTTTTAATATTATTTTTTATATTTTGAGTTTAGAAATAGGGGAATAGGATAGTAAATATTTTTATAATATTATCTTAGTCCCCGTATTAACTAGTTAATTATATAATAGGGTTACTAACTAGGCTAAAGAACTTAACCGAGCGATAGAACGTAAGTAAAAAGTAAAATAAATAAAAAAGAAAATATATAGAATTAAGGGGTAAAAAGGTAAGATTATAAAAAGAGGATAAGAAGAATTAATTATAAATAATAAATAAAAAAAAATAATTAATATATATAACTAAAGATAGAGCTATTTATTTATATTACGTAGTATTTTATTTTAATATATATATTATATTAATATATAATTATAGCTAACGAAGTTATAATATATTTACATAATTATTATTAGTTAATTATTATTAAGGTTAGGATAAAAATCGCTAAATTAGTTAGTAATATAATTAATATTATCTATAACTAAACTAAATTAAAATTATTTTTATACCCCGACGCTATAATTAAACTTATTGCTTATATTATATTACCCTAAGCTAATAAATTATATTATTATTTATACTATTATATATACTACCGCGTATAGAATATATAGGAATATTATTAAGTAGAGTATAAATAATAAAATAATTAGTAAAAGGGGGGTAATATATAAAAGAGGGCTATAATAGTAAGGGATTTACTATAGATAATAGGGATACTATACTAGTGGTTTTTTTTATTACGTACTAAGAGCTAATAGTTCGAGGTCGGGCGGGGGTTAAGGGTAGCTATTAAAAACGAGCTATTAAGGCTAGGAACGAATAATACGGTATAATTCGTTACGTTATATAAGAACTAAGAAAAGTAATTTAAAGCCAACGCGCGCAAAGAAGTTAGTATAATAAATAAAAAATTAAAGCTAAACGGGTAGTTATATTATATTAAGTAAATAAGGGATTTAGAAAGGTTAAATAAGATATAGTTATAAGAGGCTATATAACTAATTAAGGATAACAAAGAGACGTTATAAATTATATAGGCCGTATTTAATAACGTTACTAATAAAATATACGTAATAATAATATTATATAAGGTTAGGTATAACGTATTATTTAAAGCAGAGTGGAAGGAGATTAGGTAGAAGCTAGTGTAGCTATTTAATAATTATATAGAGGACGATACGTAGTAATAGTATAAGGAGGTTTAGTATAAAATAATAAGTATATAGTTTTATATAAACAAGTAACTAGAGCGCGAGTAGCTATTATATTAATTTATTATATATTAAGGGTTGTTATAAGATATATTTATTAACCGCGTTAAGGTAGATATTAGTAATAGGTAGCTAGTACTAGTAGAGGAGGTTAAGAAAATATATTTAAATACTATTATTATTATTATCGAAGACCTATATAAATAAAATTAAAAAGAGAGCGTAATAATTAGTACGTTAGCGGTATTAAGTATTTACGAAGATAGCGGGTAATATTAGGTAACGGAGTATATAATAAATTATTTAGCTATAATTAAAGTAACTAAAATATTAGTCGTATATTAGGCATAGTTAGAGCGGTAAAACGAGGTAGTAGCGTTAATAGCGACTTAAAGGGCCGAGGCGGTATATAAAAAGGCTAGTAACGTATTTTATTTAATACGTAATAAAGTATAGCAGTTTATAACGTAAATACCTAGCTAGCTAAATAACGAGCTTAGGGTAATAAATTAAATTTATAATACGCATACGTACGGGATATATATCTAGTTTAATATAGTAGTACTGGGGATAGTAGATTAGAGCGGTGACTAGATATTATTTTAATAAGTATAGGTGCGGGTGTGCGAATTAATTAAGATATTATACAGGGTAGCGTAAGAGGTATAGTTATTATTAGTACTATTAATAATAGTAAATAAGTATAGGGATAAGGATAATAATCTTAAGAGGGACGGGTATAGTAATAGGTATAGAGGCTAATTAGCGTTAATAATAGCATTACTTATTATTAAATAAAATAGTATATACAATAATTATAACTAGGACTAGCCGGGGTATTTATTTTTATATAATAATTATAATAAGGTATAAGTAAGTAAGGAGAAGGGGTAGATTATATAACGTATTATAAAATTAAAAGCACGGTAGTAGGCATAGTTAAACTTAACATAAGGGGGGGTAATAGTAGTAGTAATAATAATAATAGTAATAAAAAAAGTAAAGGAGGCTACGTTTAACCATAATAATAATTATTACTTATATTATAAGAGGACGGTATAAGTATATTAATAAGTATTAAAATTATTCTAAGAGCGGTTATAAATATTAATATATATAATAATAGGGTAGCTAGCGCGGGCACCTAAATTAATAAGTATTAAATATAATAACATAGCTAATAGCGGGGTTAAGAACGTATTTATATATAATAATATAATATATTTTATTATATTATATTATAAGAATTATTATTAAATAGGGACGACTAAGGTAATATATTAATATTTACTACGCGAAGTAGGTAAGTTAGTTATATAATATTTATAATTAGTATTACCGTTTTAGTAATAAGTAAGAGGTATTATTTATTAAACGGATTAAAAGAGCGTATTTTTATAAACGGATAACGTAGTTATAAGGGGTAAGGTAGTAAGTAACAAGGCCTATAATAATAACGAAGATAACGAGGCCCGTAATAATATTATTATAAATAAAAGTACCTCTAGTACTCCTAACCGGGCGCTATAGATAGATAAAGGGGTATAAACGTTAAATAAAATAAAGTAGATTATATAATAATATAGTAAGTAATTAGTAAGTAATAAGATTAATATTAGTAAGTAGCGGTATATAGCTATTATTATTATTAATTAGTATTTAAAAGAGGTGTTTAAGCGGGTAAATAATAATAATAATAATAATAATAATAATAATAATAATAATATAAGGGTTAAGGATAGTATATTAAATTTATAAACTAAGTACGGTATGTATATAGTAAGGATAATATATAAGTAGTTATACTAAGAAGTACTATTTAGTATAGCGGCGTTATAGAATAAGTTCTAAGCCGCTAGTTAGTAATAGTATTAGTTATTAAGGTTCGGGGTAGAAGACCGGGGTAGCGGGGTACTAATTAAGTAGTAGCGAATAGTAATAATAGTAATAATAGTAGTAAATAAGGAGTTCGAAGAATAGCGGCGGTAGTAGTTTATATAATTATAATTAGTTAATATTAGTAAGTAGTTATAGTAAATAATAAGAGACCTGCGGGTAGCGTTCCGTAGCTAATAAGAATAAGTTATTTAATTAATTATATATAGGGATGACCTAATTATATAAGTAATAAGTATAGGTAGTAGTAAAAGTTTATTATTTATATTACTAACGTATTGCGCGCTAAATAGGGTAATAATTATTATAA